TATATATATATATATATATATATACTAGTTAGGTATATTATAGTGAGGTATATTACAGAACATTTTATTATAGTAAGGTTCATTATAGTCGAATATATTATAGCATAGCATATAATAGTAAGGTGTATAATAATAAAATATATTATAACATGGTATAATATAATAAGGTGTATAATATTAAGGTATATTACAGTAGGTATTAGCAATAGCATAGGTAAATCAGCATTATGTATACAGAGTATATCGGGTATACTCTGTATAGCTACTAGATATACTAACTATACATACTACGCATAATATCAGGAGCGTATAATGACAAATACGCTCCTGATAATATATACATATATATGTATATATAGCCTAGGCATACATAGAATAACTATTATTCATCGTAGTAAGATGGGTTTATTGGCCTCACCTGCTCTATCTCAGCCTTCAGTGTGCTGACCTGGTCTCTGAGTGTGTCGACCTCCATCTTGTCGGTTCCGACTAGAGCCGTGCTCTCTGGCTCTTTGTTGTCGATCGAGCGACGTCGACGTAGGAAGTTGTTGTCGTTGTTCGTGAACGTCGAACACAGCATCGTTCCCTGCTGGATCGTGAAGTGCCGATTCTTTATCTAAAGAACAGAAAAACATGCGGGAGGCCGTGGTGGCTGTTATTGTTGTTGTTGTTGTTGTTGTTGTTGTTGTTGTTGTTGTTGTTGTTGTTGTTGTTGTTGTTGTTGTAGTAGTAGTAGTTGTTGTTGTTGTATTAGTATTAGTATTAGTAGTAGTAGTATTAGTAGTAGTAGTAGTAGTAGTTGTTGTTGTTGTTGTTGTTGTTGTTGTTGTTGTTGCTGCTATTTTTGTTGCCGTTGCTGTTGCTGCTGTTGTGGATGCTACTGCTGTCGATGCTGGTGTTGTATATTTCCTTGTTGTTGTTATTGTTGTTGTTGTTGTTGCTGCTGTTGCAGGTGTTGTTGTCGTCATCGGTAGTGGCGGTGTTGCTGTTTCTGTTAGTCTCGTTACGCCATGCACGCAATACATACCTCAAATAAATGCTTCGTTAATTCAATTCATATATATATATATATATATATATATTACACATTACAATTCTATCCAAATGTATACTGATGTTATGCTGTGTGAATATAATAAATGTGAATGGAAAATGCTTCCTAACCAACATTTAATCATGGAATAAGTTTTACTCTATAGATAACTCTCGATAGAGAATATTAGATACTTCTCCGCAAATATTCACGTGATCCATAACGAATTAATAATGACGTGACCTTTAACGGTGCTATCTTCAAGCATATATTCGGAAACTTAACATTATTGTTATCGTCTGCACTAACTCCGGGGTGAGATTCAAGGATCGTACGCTAGTTTTGTCTCTCGCTAGATGTCGCCGTTGTTTGTAACAGTTGACAACGATCTTTTGCACGATTGACCTACCTACTGCCCCATCAATTTTCAAATTATTTTCCGTTGTATGTAACTCCTCGATGTCATGAACGATTATGTATAATAGAAAAGTTAATAAATGAGAACCGGAGAGATAGCTCTCTACATATATTTCGCACAATGTCCGCCGCAATACATTTTTGCGATATTGCCGAAAGCGGAGGGTTCCCGTTATAGAAATTAGATTTGTATCCGTATTAACATCTACGGGTGTTTCATGCATGCCAGCATGCATCTCATTGTCGATGCTGCGCGTCACGACACACACCCACAAGCACGTACCTTAGGAATAAACACAAGGCAGATGGTGAGTGTCGTAGCGAAGAGGATGAACGCAGAGATGAGCATGCACGTACGTGAGGTCGATCTCCGATTTCATCACAAATGCAATAGGCACACCGATGAGGCATAGTACAACCACGTTATATACACTTAAACCTGGAAGAAAACAACAACATGGAAGATACGATCTTTCACTTAAACCTGGAAGAAAACAACAACATGGAAGATACGATCTTTCACTTAAACCTGGAAGAAAACAACAACATGGAAGATACGATCTTTCACTTAAATCTGGAAGAAAACAACAACATGGAAGATACAATCTTATTGTTGTTCGAATTACTCTGAAA